ACACTGCAAAGGCTTGATTAAGTTCCCCAGAAAACTTCTACTGTGTAGTATGTCACGATAAATTTACTGATCCCCCTTACCTATTGAAAACTGTTGTTGAGACTTTTTTGAGGAAGGTCTAAAAGTGTGTCTGTCTCCCCTTAGGCAAGTCAAATGAGTGTTCTGGTTAAAATTCTTGCCGAAATCTTCTGATATTATGGTGGCACTTACATGAGTGTGCTGGTAGAGTACGTGTGCCATCTGCGTCGCAGGCATACATCTCTTCTCCCCAATTTGTGGAGTTTGGCTCTTTCTTATCTTGAATCTTGTTTGGATGGGTGATTGGTTTGTCTAACTGTCTCAGTAGAAATAGATGTATCCTATAATCAATAGCTGGGGTTTTTACCACTTGTCAGAACAATGATGTTTTAATGTTAAATCAATTTTTACAGAGGTTTTGGCTGGGGTTTATTTTGTTGTTGTGGTTTGGGGTTTTTTTGTTTGTTTTTTGTTTGTTTGTTGTTTTTTTTTTTAAGGTAGAAGGCATTACATATGTCTGCTGCCCCAAGGTCCAACTGGCACTATGGGGACTAGAGTTATAATAGCTGCATAATATATATTAGTTGCCTTATTCCTGGAAACTGGATTCAGGCCTAAAGGGTTTGTTTTAGACATGCTGCTTTACCATTAAAATGCTGCTCCATGTTACATTGTCAATGTAGGATGAATGTTAAAAGCTGAGAACTGATCTGGCAAAGCACAGTAGTTTCATAGGATGAGCTCCCATTGTTAGTTGACTTAAACTGTAAGCAAATTCAGCATTATGAAGAAGAGATAAATCGGTAAAAATAATGCAGTGCTCTTACTGTAAGTAGTACTTTTGTCTTAGCGAAGGCTTAACTAGTTATCTGCTTGCTGTTTTGTTTACAGCATTCAGGAGGAGCATTTCACACCATTTTCTAGGGTGGTACATCTGTTCAAGATATTTATGTTTAAATAGAGCTCTGTAATTAGATTTTAAAATGTGTAGGCATGCAGAGGACTAGACAGATTCCATTATTCATTGTCAAGTGCCCAAGTACTTTCTCTTGGCAGTCATCTATTCCTTGTAAATATTTATCTGTTCAAAGCTAGATATGGTCTAGGGGCATGAATTAGCTATTGCTTTTTAACACCATTTAGTAGATTGGTGCCTTTTAGTGTAGAAGTGGGGAATAAATTTCTGTTTCCTACTTCTAATGCTGCTGCCTTATGAGGGAATACAGGCAGGTCAAAAAGGGGCTCTTCAAAATTCTTTCTTTGAGGGTTACAGAGCCACCAGCTGTTGTGAACCCAGACAGACTATGCTGGTACATCTCTGCTGCCTCTGGCAAAAAGCAGTTGTGTGGTGGCACTTTTATAGCACTGTTTTATCTATTTGTGTTAATAGCACTGTTTGCAGTACTTCTGAAGTTAAATTTAGTAGCTCAGGGTACACAAAGGTTTGAATGGTGTTTTAGTATCTTGTGATTCATGTGCAAGTAATACCTCATGGCAGCCTTCAGCGAAGAAGGAAATTGAGACTTGTGGTGTCCTAGTTTTTCTTTAGCAGAATGTAAGAATATTCTGCATACTGAAATTTGCCATTAGAATCCAAAATACTTCAAATAAGTATGAGCTGACATGTTCTTTTGGAGCAGAATCTGCCATTATGGGGTGACCAAAGTGTAGTTATACTTCTCCTGTGAAATGTACTTGATGCTCTTTAAATGGAGCAGAAATTCTAGGCTTGTCTATCAACAAGAGACTGAATCTCTGTACTTTTCTATTGTAATACCTGGTGTGGCATGTGGAAGGAATTTTTATGGTGAATTTTGCAGCACAACCTCTTTGTTGAAGTTGTCTTGAGTTACTGCTGTTCTCTTCAAAACATTAAAAAAATCAACTTGACTGAAATTTCAGTATCATGACACGTTGCCTCATCAAGCAAAATTTAATGTAGCATGGATATAATGGTTAGAGGTCTTTCCTCAAAGACAGCGAAGTTCCTTCCCAAAGCTCTCACTAATAGAGGAATTGTAAAACCGTTGTGTCGCATGATTTGGGGGAGTTTTAATTAGCTTGGCATAAAAGCCAGTGTGTAAGGTTACTTAGAATTATTGAGGCTTAAATAAAATAAAACAATTTACAGAAATCTTAGATTGCTACAGTTGCCATACTCTCAAATACAACTTTGAATTGCTCCTATGTCTTTCAAAGTTCAAGAAATGCTTATCTGAAGTAGCATAATAACTAAAAGTATTGTTTTTTTGTCAGACTGGCCCATAACATTGCTGTCAAAATGGCATCGCAAAATAGCATCATATCAAGTGTACCTGAAACAAACGGAACTGTGAGAGAGCAATGATAGAACAAGTTATAAAAGACCACAAAAAATTCTGTTGGTTGGATGTGCTTTGAATTTCAAGATCCAATAAAGGCAACAAGTAGTGAAGCTACACAAGTGTACTAATTGAAACATGTGAAGTATTCTCAACAGAAAATTGACATACTATTTCAGATCAATCTGCAATTTGTTGTTAATCTGTATACAATTTGTAAATGTTTTCTTCTGGTTTCTCCTTTTGTCTGGAAGTAGTAGTTGGGTTTGTATACTTTTTTTCTGTCATGTCTGAGGTTTTACACCCTCTGGCTTAGAGTGAAAATTCTCTAAATAAAGTTAAATTAGAAAATAACCCTTGAGAGTCATGCTTCTGTTTAAACTATAGTTTTTAACTACTTTTTTATTAAAACATTATTTCTAGAAATGCAGATTCTAATTCTTTTTCTTACTAAATTGCTATCAGTCTTACTGTATATGCAGCTAGGCTCAAGCTGACAATCAGCAAGGTTCATTTAGCAGAACAGGTCAGATGTGTAACACAGACAATGTTGAGGGGAATCAGTTTTTCATTTTATGACATGTTTGGTTCATAATGTGACTTCCCTATAAATGATTTTTGAGGGGAAAATTAATTATATGTATACTTCAGTTGTATAATCCTCTGTTCAAAGGACATCTTTAATAATACAGTAAAACTTAAATTCTCCATGTTCTTTTAAATGGGGTGTATGCACAAATTAGCATCTAATAGGTCTGTGGAAAGGACACATGCGTTTGACTTCTGGCATTACCTGATTATCATATGATTAGGATTTTTATTTTCTTGTTAAATTTGCATTGAAAATTAATTCATTGTCCTCAATTTCACTGAATGTTTTGGTACTCTGTTCTCTTTTTCCCGTTTTTTCTTGTGACTATGATAACTACCTGACAGGTATGCTTTTCTTGTTGAAATGACACTTTATGCTAGAAGAACAGAATTTGAAAAACACTTTGAAGGAGTAAGGGGGAGTGCTACTATTTCACTGAGGTCATACAAGTTTTTAAAAACGCTGTATTTTTCACTTCCTGTAGTTAATATGACACTTGGAACATTATGACCACAGTGTTCTCTTACTGTTTAGATAAGTGTGCTATGTGCTACAGAGCTATGTCAACTGGCACTGCTTTATTTAAAAAAAAAAAAAAAGTATAAACTCCGTAGATGCAAAAAAAAAAATATTTTTGTTCTTAACGGCCGGAAACCTTCAGTCAGGTTTCCAGCTTGTTGAATTATCTGATCTGAGGAGAAGGAGAAACTGTGTAACTTGCAGAGATATAGATGGGCTGTTAGGGCGTTACAGACCTTCCTTTAAAGAATAAATGTGTCAATTTTCCTTTTTGCCTTCAGGGACATCATCTTACTCTCATCAAGGTTATGGCTGTGAATCAAAGCTGTATAGCCTTGACCATGGCCATGAGAAACCTCAAGACAAGAAAAAGAAAACCTCTGGCCTTGCCACCCTCAAAAAGAAATTCATTAAGCGTCGGAAATCTAGCCGATCTGCTGATCATGCCAAGCAGATGCGCGAACTTCTCTCGGGCTGGGATGTGAGAGATGTTAATGCATTAGTAGAAGAATATGAAGGGACGTCAGCCTTAAAGGAACTTTATCTACAAGCTAATTTGGCAAGACCAGAAGCCAAGACCCTACAAAAAGACATGGCTGAACTTTATCAGTACAAATATTGTACCGATGTAGACTTAATATTTCAAGAAACTTGTTTTCCTGTGCATCGTGCGATATTGGCAGCAAGATGTCCATTTTTTAAGACGCTGCTATCTTCCTCACCAGAGTATGGGGCAGAAATAATAATGGATATTAACACAGCTGGCATAGATATGCCTATGTTTTCTGCTTTGTTACACTACCTTTATACGGGTGAGTTTGGAATGGATGATTCAAGATTCCAAAATGTTGATATCCTTGTGCAGCTTAGTGAAGAATTTGGTACACCAAATTCCTTAGATGTTGACATGCGCGCACTATTTGATTACATGTGCTACTACGATGTGGTTCTTAGCTTTTCATCAAACTCTGACTTAGTTGAAACTTTTGGTGGAAGTCAGAACTGTCTAGATGAAGAACTCAGAGCTCACAAAGCTATTATTTCATCACGATCTCCATTTTTTCGTCACTTGCTGCAGAGGAGGATACGAACTGGTGAAGAAATCACAGACCGAACTCTACGAACTCCAACTAGAATTATATTGGATGAATCTATCATACCAAAAAAATATGCTAAGGTCATTTTGAACTGTATGTATACAGATGTGGTGGACCTCTCAGTTTTGCACTCCAGCCCTTCAGTGGGCAGTTTAAGTGAAGTTCAGGCTCTTGTAGCAGGAAAACTAAACATGACTAGGGCTGAGGAAGCTATGGAGCTTTACCACATAGCACTGTTCTTGGAGTTTAACATGCTTGCACAAGGTATGTAATACTGTCCTTGCTGTAGAATATATGACCTTAGTAGAACAATTTTTTCCCTATTTTGCTGTGTAAGTATGCCTATTGAGTCTTGCTATCAGTGGCTGACAATTCCTTTACGAAAAGGAATTTATTTTCTACATGTAAGTTGTAGGTAATGCATCTGTGTTTTCTAGGGACAGAAAAAACGCTATGTGAGTTTTTAACTGTATTGCATGTCATTATTGAAGCATACTATTTATGTCAAATATGTATAACTGGTCTTGATATTTCTGATCTTTATTTACTTTCACCTATAATACTTTTTTTTTTGGGTGTAAACGACAGGGGGAGGATACAGGAGATCCTTGTAGAGAGGAGAAAATGTTTAGACTTGTGATGAAGTGTCCCTGTATGTTAACAAGGCTGTAAACTTGAATGAATTGTTTCTGTAGTTTATGTCAAAGGGGATACACCAAGCCTGCAATTTTGTTGTTGGAAGGTAAATTTAAATGGCTTAATTGCACTAGTCCAAAGTCTTTAGTATCTACTTCTTGATGTACAGAACTGAGGGCAAGGCAGTCAGAGTTTTCAGACTTAAAGATTAGAAAGTTTTACTTCTGTCCGTTATTTTTGAAGATGACTGAAATCTTGATAACATATTTCCTGCACATGGAGGCTGGCCGGGTTTATTCCAGTCTATGGCAAAGGTGTCAGAGTGCTGACTGGTGAACCAGTAATACCTCTTGTGGTGGCAGGAGCTTTAGTTTCATCTGGCCCTGTGACCTATTTAGTGGCCATACCTATACATAATGGGATATTGCAATTGCTTCAGGCCTTGCTGATGGGGGGTGACACTTTTACTTTTGAGCTGAGAAAGGGAAAATGTTATTCACTGTTGTATCAGCAACATGATTTGTTTAAGCTATTTTAATTTTTTTAAGACTGTAGCTTTTACAGTAGGTCTGTACATCTGTAACTTCTGGCTATCAAATGAAATTGGACAAGGTTAAAATCTTCATAATATCGTCACGTAGACCAGTAAAGTAGGAAACTTCAGGAATGGGCAGAAAAAATCAGGCGCAAGCACTGCAGGAAGACATCATACTTATAACGGGTTCTCCTAATAGTTATATCAAACTTGTGAGTGATAAAGATATAGGAAACTAATCAGAACTATTATATCTTCTGTAGAGGTTGGTATTAAGAAACCAATTCTCAGATGATGCTGACAGTTGAAATGATCCTGCTGCAATAAAACTGGCAGAAAACAAAGGAGATGGGTTTTCTGAGACACGTTGCCACAGGAATGCGAATGAGGTGTTTTTAGGCTCAGACTCATAGAATCATAGAGCAGCTGAGGTTGGAAGGGGTCTCAAAAGGTCATCTAGTTCAACCTTTCGTGGGAATTGGAGCCTAGATGAGATTATCTAGCACCCTGTCCAATCACATCTTGAAAACCTCCGGTGATGGGGACTATGCCATATCCCTGGGGAGGTTGTTACAGTGAATGATTGTCCTCACTGTAAAAAATGTCATATATTAAGATGTCTTCTGGTGCAATGTGTACCTGGGGCCCCTTGTTCTGTCTGTGTGATTTCTTGTGAAGAGAGCACTTTCACCCTCTTTGTATCTGCCCTTTAGGTACTGGAATACTGTGGTGAGGTCCCCCAGATTCTTCCCTTCTCCAGGGAGAAAAGACCTAACTCTCTCAGCCTTTCCTCATAGGGCAAGTTCTCCAGCCCTTTGATCATCTTCATGGCCCTCCTTTGGACCCTCTCCAGTCTGTCTGCATCTTTCTTATTTTTGTTGTTGTTCTTCTCTAAGTACACCTTGAAACTTAATGTTGATGGAATGCAGAAGTGGCAAAAAGTCTTACTATAGTGAACTACCGTGTTAAAGTCATTCCTATACAATATTTGCAAGTTAATAGTACTTGAACCAGACAACTCAGTAGATCAGCTGAAAGCAAGAAAGGAAAATGAGTTGAAATTAAAAAAATGATGTAAGTGTACTGTTTCTCAGTTTTGGTGCATCCACATATACAAGTGCTAAAAGGGTTTAGTGTGCTCAGGGAATACTAATAAGGGAATTAAACTGTGAATGAAGCTTTCAGTAAGACACTGAATAATTATGCACTGTTTCATAAATGAACAGGGTGTAATTCGTTCCCTCAGACTGGAAACCTAAACTGGAACAACTGTGATCTGGAGGCGCTCTGATGAAGCGGTATTAAGTCTATGAAAGCAGATCAGCAATGATAGATAGAGGACTTCAAAGAGAAACTTATGGATAGGAAAATGGCTTTTATTTTTTAGGTGTTAGTTAATGCTGAAAAACAGAAATGATGACATTGAGGTGCTGGAGCATGTCTGAAGAAGGGCAACGAAGCTGGTGAGGGGGCTGGAGCACAAGTCTTATGAGGAGCAGCTGAGGTACTGGGGTTGTTTAGTCTGGAGAAAGAGGAGGCTGAGGGGAGACCTTATCATTCTCTACAACTGCCTGAAAGGGGGTTGTGGTGAGGTGAGTGTTGGCCTCTTCTCCCAAGTGACTAGCGATAGGATGAGAGGAAATGGCGTCAAGTTGCGCCAGGGGAGGTTTAGATTGGACATCAGGAAAAATTTCTTTACTGAGTGGTCAGGCATTGGAACAGGCTGCCCAGGGAGATGGTGGAGTCACCATCACTGGACGCGTTCAAAAAATGTATAGACGTGGCACTTCAGGACATGGTTTAGTGGGCATGGTGGTGTTGGGTTGATGGTTGGGCTTGATGATCTTAAAGGTCTTTTCCAACCTTAATGGTTCTGTGATTTGATGCTGAGTGACTATTTCTGCTTGCTTTAAGTTGTGCATGCTTGGATCAGCATGCCCTAAAATGGCACTCTTTTCAGTAACGCACTACAGACCGGTACTGCTCTGGAATATATATTCTATGAGTCAGCGGTAACAAGATCTTAACTTTTCCCAGGAGGCTGTCCCCCAAGGCTACCTCTGGAGGAGGAAAAAGAAATGCAGCAGCAGGAGCTGCACTGGGCTTGCAGCATCTCGGCAGCATGCTTGGGTGGCTGAAGTGGTGTGTGCAGCAGCGCAGGCTCAGTCTTGGTGGCCCTCTGGATAAAGCAGAGCTGTAGTGTTTTGAGGGTGGTCATTAGGAGGAGGTAGAGTGATGCCTTCAGAGGTCTTTTCTTCTTTCCATGGTAAATCAGTGTCTGACCATGAAAGTCGTGAGGTGGAGAGGTTGTTATACATACGGGAGAAATGCAGTAAAATCAGGCAAGGGTTGACATTTATTATATTATCCAATACTAGCAAATGTAAATTTTGCACCCTTTCAGGTAGTCAAATTCTAGATTGTAGCTTGAACTAATTAGGGTTTTATAAATCGGTGCTGTATTCCCTAGCTACAAGAGAAAGCAGTAACCTGTCTGTAGAAAATCTGTATATGCCAGTGAAGTCAGTATTTAATAGTTTCATACTTGATTTGCTGAGTTCATGTTTAGGTCATTGGTACTGTGCTGACACTGAAGAATTGTTCTGCAATAATCTTATAATCAAAATTAAATGGAAGCTTATTTGATCAGGGAAAAGGACATGCCTGCATTTGATTAACAGATCAAGCATTGGAATAGGCTGCCCAGGGAAGTGGTGGAGTCACCGTCACTGGAAGTGTTCAAAAAACATGTAGACATGGTTTGATGGTTGGACTTGATGATCTTAAAGGTCTTTTCCAACCTTAATGATTCTATGATTCTGTGATCACTTAACAAAGTATGCGCTTTAGTAGTGACCACCATTCTTGTTTCGGCATTTAACCATAGCACTTTGTCCTCCCTTACTATAATACTTAACATGAGGTAGATGAGAGATCTTAGTTTCAGTAGTGTCCCTACCATTCCCTGATTTCATAGCTAGCATAGTTCTGCGCTGGAAGCTGTTGTTCAAACATCTGACTTCCAGATATGTGGAGCAATGCTAGAAGAGACAGCATTGCGTAGCTGTTGGGAGACCGCTGAGCAGGCAGTTCTCATGAAATCTCTTAGCTCGGTCCCCTGACAGCACTTTTCTATTCAGTGCTGCAGGTGTCCAGTCCCAAGTTCTGAGCAATCCCATCAGTTGGCTCTTGCAGTAGCTAATGTCTTAAGTTTCTTCTCTTGGTTTCCACACCCCCTGTCTCAAGGTTTTTTTGCTGTTGTGTGTTTGTTTTTTTTTTATTCAGTTCACTCATGCTAGCCAATTGCAAACTTGCTAAAGCTTGACTCCCTGCTTTCCTGGAAGATATTTTGGCCTCATTATATGTAAGTCTGGATGCTCTTTCCAACTCATTTTGCTCACTTTTACTGAGTTTTGGCTGGGTATTTGTAACTGAGTGTCAAGTGAGGTTGATATATTTTAAAAGCTTCTGATCAACTTTTTCTTATTTTCAACAGATTTTCGTTTGATTTGTCTTCAGGGACCTTTCTAAGTATCCAGATGTTGTAATTTTTCTTCAATTTCAGCAGATGATTCAGCTTTGACTCTTTCGATAGAAATCTTCCTGTTCTTAAGACAGTGATACTCCTTTTTCTGACTGTTGTATTCTAATAGATGGTTTCCCTATGACGAAGTCAGTGATAGTATGTGTATGTGCTGTGAATCTTTACTGTCCAAGTAAAACAAGACTAATTTATTTAGAATTTACTCTGGTTCCACCTTGATTTGTTTCAGCTGATAATTGTCACTTACCTTCCAAGAGAAACTGAACTGGATCTCTGAATGAGCTAATTTGAATAAATGAACTAAGCAGCAAGCACATCTCATCTACAGAGTGGCTCATGCTGAAACCCATTTGTACCTAATAGCATAGAGGCTGCTATTAGGGGGGCTCCAGTATTTGTTAACTATCAAAGTGATGCTCTTCACTGCTTTCATAGAGGCTGTGAGGATTACAGCCCTCTCCAGGAGGTTCAAGCACATCCCTTGGTCGAACGCTTCTGTGCTCTGCCTGCTTATTTCTGCACTCTGCTCCTGCTTTTGTGTCTTCAGGCTGCCTTGC